TGGCAAGCTGCTTGATTTGCATGAGCCGTTGCCCGAACCTAAGGAACCCGCACCGTCAACCCCAGTTGTTGATGACCCTGTTGAACTGCCGCCGCCAGATTTGCAGGAAGAGGATTACGCGCCCTCTGTCATTCCAGGAGGTAATACCTTTGCCAGAATCGCCGGACGCAAGTGGTGTGGTAATGAAACCGGTCCAAAGGGAGAAGGGCAAGGAAGTGTGGCTCATTGAATTTTATTGCTACCCAGATAGCGCAATTTCAAGAGCAGCTCAGAAATTTGGCATCTCCTATCTTGGAGTAACTAAGGACATCTTGAACGTTGCCGCCCGCTGCTTCAGGACCTCATCCAAGGTGGTGCGATTGCGCACTTGTGGGGGAGCCTCCCATGTACGGTTTGGTCTCAATGGCAATCCATGGCCATTCATAAAGGGGGTGTCATGCTTGGACACTTCATAGAGGTAGCCTCCATGGTCATGATTCCGAGAGGGGGTCAGTGACATATGAGTGGCCGAGGAACTGGTCACAGAACAAGTTCCAAGGGATGTTGAAGAAGGGATGTTGGAATCCAAGCCAGATGGTTGCGCTTTCAATTGGAAAATCAACGGAAAGTTCCCAAGCAATGGAAGATCATGACCACCAATCCTAGACTTTGCAAAGAGCTGAACGCAAAGAAGTGCGAGCACCCGCAGGACTTCAGACATGATCCCATTGAGGGAAGCCTCACTGAGCTGACTGGTAGGTACCCAGAGGGACTTGCTAATCTTGTTGTTGCTTCTCTTGCGCCGGATCTTTCGTTTGAACATGTTCCCGCGATGCCCTGCATTAAGCAAATTGACCATGGCCATAGAGTTCGCTTCCCTGATGACTTGAGCACGATGCCATCAGCCATGGCCGGAGTTACCAAGCTGTTGTCTCGCAATGAAATGTTTCAGGACCTTCAGGCTTTGAAAGCCATCGCCGAGGAAGGTGAAGGTGTCCGGTCCATGGAAACTTGGAGGGATGACACCGTGGTTGAAAAGGGTTCTTTGTTGGATGAAGCCAGGAAAACTGGGCAGCAGATCCATGTCGCTGAGGTGATGTCCATCGCAAGCGTGAAACACTGGGAAACACCTGCTAGGAGAAAGTACAAGGGTAGGTTGTGATTCAGGGGGGATAACACCAGAAACGCGTGGGGTGCTGCGG